CTTGAGTCAGCCTGGGATGACACAAAACTCACTAAAAAACAGGAGCACTGACAGTTTTCATCATCTGGAGCTGCCAATTTGATTCCTGATAAGGGATTTATTTGTGACTTGTTGACTGATGTATGTTCTTACTGCATGCTTACATGGCTTTCTCCAGCCTTTGAGGAGATGGGAGTAGTGGATTTAGGGAGGGAAGGGGAAGAAGGGAGGCAATGGGGAAGGAGGGGGAAGGCAATGGGATGGATATGCAATTGATGATACTTCTAATAAGGAAACAATCCTAATCACTTAGGCTCTACTTTTATGATCAAGTAAAGATCTTAGCTCCTAAATATAGTTACATTGATATGAGGACTTCAACATAGGAGTTTTAGGGTAGCATAAACATTTGCTCCATTGTGCCATTTTTCTGCCTATGCCTTAGTTGAGAGACTTAGAGTTAGAACTTTCTGTGTCCTCACTTCCAACAGGTAGGGTCACTGTTAGCATCACCACTTCCATCAAGACCCAAAGAGTCTTTAATTGCTTCTATGTATCTATCACTATTTTGAGTTACAGATAAGCCTTTTATTTTATTTTATTAAATTGTATGCATTGCATGTGTGTATGTATGTATGTGTGTTTGTATATACGGTATAGACACTTGTTAGTGTGGATGGGTATGTGCATCTGTGTGTACAGTTACATGTGCACTAGTGAAGGTAGATGTGAAGGTAGAGGTTAGAGGCTGATGATGGTAATCTTTGATTGATCTTATTCCAGTTTTGTTTATTTATTTTTGAGACAGGATCTCTCACTCTCACTGAACCAGAAGCTCATTGTCTCAGTCAGGTTGCTGGCTAGTGAGCTTCCCAGGATCTTTGGCTTCTTAGACAGTGCTGAATGTGACTTAAAGAAGAGAATGTGCAGTCTTTTGTGCATCCCATGTGTATAATCTGTGTTTGCTACCTGTGCCTTTAGGTTTATATTTAAGACATTGTTCTGTTAAGAAGAAGGCCACTACCACTGTCTGAGGCCAAATTTAAGCAGGCTTAATTAGATACTGACCAGGAGGATGGGCTCTGGCCAGGAGCACTTGGCACTTGGCCGCAAGTCACATTTTGCAGGGACTTAAAAAGGCAAAACCATGGAGCCACCATATTTCACATCAGGTCCCATCAAGGGCAAGCATATATCCTGATGTACTTTCTGCCTGTGTACCTCCCATCTACATTCAATCAGGGGCAAGTGTAGACTCTGACTTATTTCCTGCCCACGTACCTCCCATTCACATGTGATCAAGCATATCCAGTGTGGATGGATCAAGCAAACATAGAACAAAAAGGAACTTATTCTTTGTACTATTATTATTATTTATTATTGTTATTATCTCATATAATGCATCACAATAACAGTTTCCCCTCCCTTCTCTCCTCCAAGGCTCTCCTTCCATCTCTCTTCTCCTCCAGATCCATGTTCCCTCTGTCAAATACTGACTAACATGATACAATGTGAACAGGTACATGCCATCATATCAAGGTTGGACTAGCTAACCAAATAAGAGGAAAAGGGTCCCATAAGTAGGCAAAAGAGTTAGAGACAGTCCCCACTCCCACTGTTAGGAGCCTCAGAAGAGCACCAACCTACTCAGTCATAACATATAGGTAGAAGAGACCTAAGTCGCACCGCTACAGGCTCCCTGGTCTCTACAAGCCCCCAATGAGCCCCTATCAATTGATTCTGTGGGTTATGTTCTCTTGGTGACCCTGACCTCTGTTGCTCCTCTGATATTCCCTCCCTTTCCTGTGCAGGACTCCCCAACCTGCACCCAATGTTTGGCTGGGGGACTCTGCATTTGCTCCCATAAGTTGCTGGATGAAGTCTCTCTGGCCTCTTTGATGATGATTCTGCTAGGTTCCAGTCCCAGAACTCTCTGCAGGCAGGACAAACTGTAGGTTGAAGGTTTTGTGGCTGGGTTGGAATCTCAATCCTTCCTTTTGAGGCCTTGCATAGTAACAGAAGATGACTGCTTCAGGCTCCGTGTTCCCAGTTACTAGAACAGTTGTCTAGTTTTACATTGAGGTCTTAGATATTCTTTGACTTGAGTTTTATGCAGACAGGAATTTATTCTTGATTGCAAATAGACCTTATAACCTGCAATGTATATTTTTCCTGTTTTGTTCTTACAGGGTCTGAGGTAGTGCCAAGGGTTTTGTATTATCATGAGCTTTCAGATCTGATTGTACTAACCATGATATAACTGTTTAATGAATTTATACACTGAGTGTCCAGTGGACCGGTATGTTTAAATGATTTTTCTCTTTGTTCACATTTCATTTAATAGATTATAGTATATTTATTACCTTGTGGCCTATAATGTGGGGAGGCAGACATTTTATTTTTCTGGAGAGTCTCTAGAGGATTTATTGATACAGAGAGGTCTCAGAACTATAGAAATGTTCAGAAGCACATCCCTAAGTCCAAGCAATTCCAGAAAGTTTATGGATTCTTTACCCTAAGAGCATTTCAAAGCACACTTAGAAGTAGTGTAATTTCACATCTAAGGCTTTGGTTTTGAAGATCTTGACTTTGCCATTTATGACTGAGTCATAGTTACTGACCTTTTCTGAGAATCAATTTCTCACTTGTAAAATGGAAACAGTAATGCATTCCTTTTAGGTCACTGTAAAGATCAATAGAGCAGAGGTAGAAAACCCACAGAATGTCCTAAATAGACTTCAGCTCTGCCTTGGTATCAGTGGTGTGGTTGCTATTTTTAATATCTTTCTTTACTTTCCATCTCTGACTTTAGAGTCATGATGGTGCATCTCAGACTTCATCATGCCCAGGGGAGTCCTGGTGTGTTGCTACATGGAGTGACTGTAAAGCTTTCAAGGTCAAACCTAGATTCAAGGGCAACAGTGAATCAGTTAATCCTCCCCTTGGAATTCACTTGTCCCTGCAGCAGACTGCCTGGCATCTGATAGCCAGAAGCTCTCAGAGGAGAGCTCCTTGTAGACACTTTTTGGGGGAAATGTGTTCAAGAGGTAGCTTCATGACCTTATGACCTGATATCCCCAATGACCCCACTCTGCCCTTTAAACATTCCAAACCATAAAATAAGGTTGTTTTCCTTTCAATGTAAAACAAAACATTAGTGTCCTTGTGAATCTTGCTGTCTGCTTGGTCGCTGTTCTTCTCTTCCAGGAAAATCAAGTTTTAACTTCTGCTGTGCTGGATGTGGCACTGCTGAAGTACAAATTGATTGCTTTGGTGTGGATCAGGCACCAGGGACTTGGTTTTCTACATAGTTCCCAGGTGATGTGGAACCTCAAAGCTCTAATGAGTCTTTACAGATTAAAGTGATGAAATGTTACTTACATACCATGGGAATCCCACCATTCTCTGTTGCTACATTGCAGAAGCAGAACATACAGTACTTAGGGTGGAATCTGATGTGGTATGAATATGAACTGCCTCCCACAGGCTAGTGTGTTTGAACACTTGGTCCCTAGCTATTGACACTGGAACAGCTGTGAAATGACAAGGAGGTGGAACCTTGTTGGGAAAAGTGGATCACTGGAGGGCAAGCCTTGTGGTTTCATAGCTTAGTCCTACTTCCAGTTTGCTATCTGCTCTTTGACTGCTGATTCAGTGTGATTGATCAGCTTGTCTCTGGCTCTTGAGGGTCACACTCCACTTTATGACATTGTTGTCATTGTTTTTCTGATGCTAGGATGAAACCCATGGCCTCACATATGCTCGTCAAGTGTTCTACCACTCAGCCACATCCTAGCCTGAAAAGCCATAATTTTGTTTTTTCAGACTGAAACAAAATGGTATTAAAATTTAAGGGACTGTTTTCTTAGGATTCCCAGGGTAATCTTTGGCTTTCTCCAGATGTGTATATACCACAGCTTTCTTCTTCTCATGTTCTTCTTTTGACATCTTTCCATCCCTTTACTGTCTGCAGTGGCTTCTAACAGATGTCTGATACACCAACTCAACTCCACAGGACACGCAGGCCTGGCATCTTGTCCATCATCTGGATGATACCCATTTGCAGAGTAAGTATCTCATTTTTTTTTTTTTGGTTTAAGTGGTCTTCGGAAGAAAATGAAAATTACAATGGGAAATTGTGGGTGGCAAGGGAAAAGAGCCATTTTAGGTAATATGTCTTATAATTGGAGTAATTTTAACAAACTCAGGCTCTGTGGAATTCCCACACACCACCCCCTGTTCCCTTAAGTTGGGGAAGTGCTCTGTTTAATAGGGGCCTAAGCTGGTCTCTCATCTCTGCCCGACAGAAATGATGTTGAAATTCAGTGAAGTCATACCTAGGGCTCTGAGAAACATGCTTACTCTGCCCTGGTGAGTCTTGATCCTCTACAGCTCCATCCAGAGCAGAGCGGACAGAGCTGGGGCTGTGGAACTGCTCATGGTAATACATCATGACTTTGGTTTTGGTTTCTACACTTATATGAAGTTGGCTCTATATTTTCTTTTCACAACCAAAGGGTCCAATAACTTAGATTTAAAATGATGACGTTTTAGCACTTTCTTGCTTTATATTTGTGACAGATACAATGACATTTTTCCTTTTTGTATATTGGATTGCCCTTTGATCCCATGACAGCTGCTTCCTTCTAGCAAGAGGGGTATGTGTATGTACATATGTGTGCTTATGTGTGTGTGTGTGCATGTGTGAAGATGTGCACACAACACATCTCCACGTTTGTCTATTGGACTTGGATGGCTGAACAGCTCACCCACAATCTTAAGTATCAATGCAGAGGTTTACTTTTTGGAGCAAGGCATCATGGGCAGAATGGTTTTTGATTCTACAGGAGCACAGGTGGCATGATCAGGAGCTTTGGCACCAGGGTGAAGCTGAGTTTTGCTGTCGCTATGGCACCACACTTAAATGGGGCAAGGGAGGCTGATGGAAAATTTAAGGGGACATTTACACTCCCAGGTGATATAACCCTGTGCTCGAACAGTCTTGAGAGTGAATGCCTCTTTAAATTTCCCACACAGGTGTCTCACTTCCTGATTCCAGTCTGGCTGTGTGTAACCCTGACAATTCACTCACTTCTCTAAGCTTTTGTTCTCATCTGCAAGAACAGGGTGAGTACTAAAAACCCTCTCATGGGCTTGACATGGAGCTTAAATAAATGGGTGTTTATAAAATTTTTGACACTGCTTGGGACCATGACCATTATTAATTTTAATTAATCTATTGGTGTGCATCTTAGCTAATCCCCTTGGATCTTGAGAAGAAAAACAAAAAGGAATTGAGGAACACAGAAGTGACTTCATTTTGGAGCTTTTATTTTTCTTTAGAGTCATTTCTTCTTTAGGAAATAACTTGTTTTAAATCTACTACAAATCACAATTTCTCACAGCTAAGATGTTGCACCAGGCAAACGCAGGAATGAAACTGCGTTTGGGGGTGTGGGAATATAGAGTTACTGGCAGGGCAGAGCAGTGCTCTCATTAGAGCCAGTACTTCATTTTCAGACCAGGAGACCCAATGTCTCACTCAAAGAGCAGAGCAGCAGGATTTGGGTTGAATGTGTCAAGTGCAGGCTCAGCAGGCAGCTCAGGGTGGCTCCCCAAACAGTTCTGACGCTTCCTGTCTCTGTGGTCACTCACTTAGCACAACTCACAACAGCTCACACAGCGTGCTTGACTAGCCAAGTACTTTCCCCACATTTTAAGGTTTTGGATGGGAGGCTGACCATGGTGCTCAGCACCAGGATGGAGAGGAAATCTGTTATAACACTGGTGTGTAAGGTGAGAGGCTCTCAGGGGCTGCTATCCCAATTGCTATTCTTGCCATGTTATTCTGATGAAAACAAAACAAAACAAAACAAGAAAACCTCAAAAAAACCTTTTAAGCCCTCAGACTTTTGGCATTAACAATGCACTGCAGAGCCCATTTGACACCCCCTCCCACCTCTTTTGTTAGATACATGGTGACTAAGAGGCAGTGACGGTGACTGAAATTTATTTTACTGTGTTATTTTGAGTTATTTGGAATGCACTTTGGTTGTTAACATAGGAGTTTCCCATCTCAATTTCTCAATGGATTAGATAAGGGGCCTGGATTTTGGACTGTTTTGTAGGATGAGCCACTTCTGAGACTACTGTGAATGTGTGTATATGCGTGTGTGTGTATGAGTGTGTGCATGTGTGTGTGTCTATGAGAGTACATGAGGGCATATATATAAGGTCTATCTCAGGCTTGATGGTGATGGTAAGTCTACATTATCACTTTATTCACCACTCGGAATTCTGAACTCTACTCTAGTCATCATTCAAAGAGAACCATTTCCTATTCTCATAGCCTGTTTCTGTGGATAGACATTGGTAATCAATCACTGCCTTTTTTTTTTTTCCAAGTCTAAGTCTTACTTTCTGGTGCCCCAGAGGACACCTACTATTCTCAGCCAGTAGGCATCAAATGGAGGGCAAGGACTTCCTTGATCTGGAAAAATCGAGAAGGTAGTTTGCTACTTGAGTCCCAGCTGACTGATTTGTGTAGAATGCAAAGAATGTACGACAACAAATCAAGTGTGGAACATAGGAAACGTCTACGGCTATCTGGAGAAGGCAAATATTTGACTGCCTAGTATATATGCCTGATGCCAGCTGTGATACACAAAGGGTCTGTGTAGAAGCTTGTTTATGAAACTGTATGCCTAGTGAAGCAGGTAGATGCATTGGTACACAGCTATTGCATTCACCTGTCACTAGGATATCAGAGATGTGAGGAGGGTGTCTCGTGGAAACAGTATCTTCTTGTGCTCCAGCAGGTTCGTGGAGTAAATTTTCTACCCAGTCTTCCAGAAGTCCAAAATGTCTTATTGTTTTTTATATGGGATGAGTTGCTGGTACTGTTTAGGTTTGACCACAGCTGAGCATTGCTAACTGGGGAGACCTGCTGGGGTTGCCACTCACTGCAGGTATTTCTCTTTGCTCAAGTATCTGATAGGGACACCTCACAATGGACATTTTTAGTGAGGGGTTTTACCATTTGGGGCTTCCTTCATGTAAAGTCTTGTTCAAGAACTAGAACACAAGTGTTGCTTATGCTGCTCGAGGAAACTGACTTAACCTGCCTATAAACCAATGTACTTGATTAGTGAGTATATCAGATCATGGCCATCCATGTTTCCACCTTTGCTTTATCTGTGCAGGTATCCATGTTGAAAAGGCTGCTTATGGGTCTGGGAAATAGAAGCTTCCCTGGCTTCATAACCAAGAGTTAATATATCCTGTCCTTATCGAGAGGGAGCTGCTATAATTTGGGGCTTTTGTTTCAGAATTTAACATCTCTGAGCCCTGAAAAATGGAATCTTTGTTCAGAGACCAGATGATATTAAGGCAGTTCCAGGCCCAATAAGTCAGATGTCTCTCAGGATTAGGACTGAAATTAGGGATGCAGATTCGTTGTAATAAGCTAAAACCTTTGCCAAATAAATATGACACACTTAAACCAGTGCATTGACTTATAGAAAATTTAAGTCAGATTCCTGAGGAAGCAGGGATAATACTTCTGCTTTTCTATCCTAAAGACAATCTTGTGCAAGGTGCAAGATTTTGCATGAGGGAAGTCCCACCTGATAAACTTGAAACATTAACCAGGAAGTACTCTGCCTATACCAGTATATACAGCTAGCTCTTTGGGCTATTTGTTGAAACAACCCATAATCATATTTTAGTCTCTCTAATACATACCTTTACAAATAAAATTAGGGATGGTGAAGTGAAAACCAATTTGTGGTTCTTTAGGGATCAACACAATGAGATAGAAAATTCAGGCTGGGCAGGCTGACAAATGTCCCAATTTCTGCTGACGCCTCAAAAATAATCCCCAGATCCCCAGCGATCTTGGAGGTCCCTTCTCTACTCTTATTTTCTTTTTCTTTTTTTCTCTCACAGAAAAAAATGCCAAAGACAATTGAGCCAATAATATTTGCTGCACTTATTCCTCTTCTCTGACTCAAACATAATATCCAAACAAAGCGTCCACTCTCGGATTTGGGTGTGTGTTTGTGGCAAGGATGAAATGCCTGCTCATTTAAAAGGGAAAGTAGGTGGTCACAAATGACAGTGTGGCATTGTGGAAAGAATAAGAATGGCTTTGGAGTCTTGCCTGGGTTGACTTCTTGGCTCTTGTGTCTACACATTGTGGGACCTTTGCCATGGCCCCTGATTGTCTCTGTGCTTTCCATTTCTGTATGTACGAAGGAGGATGGAAGCTCATTGGTAGAATTGTTGCTAAGTATGATGAGTTATGTGACATGAATTATTTATCCCTGTTTTCCCCATTCTGAATAGTGATTGTTATAAAAACCATGGAGGCGAAAATGCACAGCGATGGGCATGGTAGGATATGCTCCTTGATCTCATGTGACTAGCAGAGGACCTTATGTGTTGCCAGAGGAAGAAGGGATGGAATACTCAGTTGCTGTGAGACCCTCATAAGCCCTTCCCTTTTGAGATGGTGGCTGCTCAGTTAGTTTGATCACCAGATGACTCCAATGAGCTGAGCTCTCTGTTGGCCCTCAATGTACAACACACTGCTGTTTTTCTTTAAATCACTTATATTCAAATGTTGATTGTAATTAAAACAGAATATAACATATCCTTACAGACTGCACCTTCAGATAATTGAATTTTTCCCTTTTGGAAATTCACACATCTTCACCGTAGGACCATACACACCACCTTTCACAGGTTCTGAGTTTACTATTTGGTACAGTGGAACATCTAACTTGGCAGTGACACGTCCAAGATAATTAACTGCAGCATCTCTTTCACTACTAGTTTCACACAACACTGACTTCTTGGCCAGCATGTGCTCCAGGGAGGCCACTCAGGGGTCGCTGAAAAAGACATTTTATTCTGACTTGGTTTGTAAATGACTCTAGGCTTTGTATTGCTGGTCTGAATTCTCCTTTAGACTAGAGGTTTGGCATACAATCACTATTTGATTATTGCACCTGAATTAAAATGTTATTACTATTTATGTGCACATGTGTGTGTCTATGTCTGTACATGTGCCTGAGGTCAGAAGCATGTCACATTCCCTGGGTCTGGAGTTATTGGTAGTTATGCACTGTTTGATATGGATGTTGGGAATGGAACTTAGGTCTTCTGCAAAAAAAAAAAAAAAAACCAAACTGTTAGCCCTTAATTGATGAACCTTCTCTTCAGCCTCTTTGCTTAGAACTTTAATAGCCAATTAAAGTTGGCATGGCCAAAGCTCTGTCGATTCTTGCTTCTAGATTTCCTGGTTCTGGATCTCCCCCTTGTATGATAGGGTACTGTCAGAATGGGTTTTTAAATAGAGACCTTTCATTCCTATGTTTATCTGTATGTTCTGGTACCCCTGATTTACTCCTCAACTTTTCCATGGAAATCTCTTCTTACCAGGAAGTTACTCATTGGGCAGGCTTCTTGGCTACCTTAGCAAAATCACTTACAACTTTCCCTTTACTAGAGGCTCATTCCCTACCACACATCATCTTCCTCATAGCAGCAGGAACAGACAGGAAACTGGTGTGTATATTTCCATAATATGTACTGCCTAACTCCTAACCCTCCTTTAGGATATCAGTTCACCAGGGGCTGTCTGTTTGTTTTTCTAGAACTAGGAACATTCATAAATACTGATGATCACTATATGGATTATTAGTTACATTTCAGGAAACTTCCACCACATAAGAAATATCTGTATCCTTATATCTCATACATAGTTTGGCATATTTTAGGTGAATAATAATGTTTCTTCAACTTTTTTCTTGAACACATGCATCAATCTCTTTTCCAAAGAGCAAATTAATTGTTGATTTCAAGTATGAAACTACTACTACTACTACTATTACTACTACTACTACTACGACTACTTCTACTACTACTACTACTATAACACACACACACACACACACACACACACACACACACACACACTGAGGAGAGGAGAGAGAGAGAAATGCATGTCCTATCAGAGAAAAGAAAAAGAATGGCCATATGAATTTAGGTGTTTCTATTTGTGCTTTAAGATTATTAATATTCTGGAAAGCTGGTATTACCGTGATTAATTACATATATCAATA